TAAAACCTATTTGCAATAGTATAAATACATAAAAAAATATATATATATATATATTTATAAAATAAAGAAATTAATCAAAAAAAATTTATAAATTAGTAACCAAAATTATATGATAATATAAAAATAATGAATTAAAAAAATAATATAGTTAAAAATTAAAAAAAAAACATGAAAATAGATGGCGCTATGGCCTATAGCGACACCCACTCAGCTTAATAATTAAATTAATTTTTTAATTCGTCAGAAAATAATTTAAAAAAAATATATATATATAGAAAACAAAATAAATTACAGAATAAATAACTTTACAGAATAAAAAAAAATTGCCACGTGGCATGGGTGTCGCTATGGCCCATAGCGACACCGTTGTAAACAGCCCAAAATGCGTAAATATTTTCAAAAGAGTCCTATTTACGTAAATACGTTGGTCAACGACCTCACTTTGGTCAAAAAGCCTTTTATTTGCTTTCTTTTTTAAACTTCCTTTCTTCTGTCGGAAGATTTCTTTACCCTTTTTTCTCAGAAAAAAAGGGATGACATGTAAATAAAGTGTAGATACCAAAGTACAAGGGAACATATTTTATGAATCAACCAAGGATAATAGCACAATGAATAGTTCTATCAATTTACTTTTGAATCTTTCTACACATGGTAATGACGAGTTAATTACAAAGATGATAGCATAATTTCTATTCTTTTACTGTCTCGATTACGATAAAGAATATAAAATATTTTTTATATCATGTAATAAAATAATTATTTAACAAAAAAACACCAGCAGATGGGTAAGTCCACTTGTTGGCCACGTGAGTGTTCAAGACCTCAGATGACAGATAATGGAACACAGAAATTTAGCGATTATAAATCAGCCATGTAAGCTACGACCAATCAATATTTTGTTTAAGGTTAAAGCATTTAATTATACCAAATGTGTTTGAATCCTCTATATCACGTCATGTGTTTTATCCAATTTTCCACAAGCGTTTGCCATGTAAAAATTCAGTCATACATATACCATGACCGGTCAATATTTAGATTAGGGACTCAATAAAAAATCAATAAAGCTCAAAGACTAAACTTATATTTAATCTATTTTAATTTTTATAATAATTTATGAAACTATATTGCTCTGAGTCTGACAACCGAATCACAGCTTCACAGGAATCACATAGCTTTTAAACCATAACTTATAAAAAATCGTTATTCAGCTACCTCCGACAATCGTAGCTGGTTCATAATCTATTTATAAACGCAATGTTACTCCATGCGAGTCATAAATATAGATGAAAAGGGTTATTAGATGAACTCTTTCATTGGAAAGATCAGTCACTATATCATCTTATTATCCATCCATGCTTACAAGAAAATAAACACACCATACAACAATTTTTCTTTATATGGGGCACTTGGTGGCCACAGCATGGGAAAGGATCACCGCTCTTGTAATCAAAGACAGCATTGAGTTTGGTTGAAAACGAGCCTGACAAAAATATACGCTTACCAGCCAGGAGCTGATTTCGGGAGTAATCAGGCTTCAGTTTCATCTTCGGCTTCCATAGCATTCAAAGATTGATTCAGGTAATCTTGAGCTTCTTCTAATGCTGTTTCCTTTGCATCATCAGCATATAAAATCTTCTTAATTGCTACAGACATCTGCATAGAGAATATGTAATAACTGCTTACATTTGTGTATTTCCTTCCATTTTTTTGACGTTCAATTTACCTTATATAACAATCATTGGTGGTCAAATACTTTATGATTGACCATGATCTGGAGGTATTTTGGGTTGCTAACCCAGGTTTAAGAGTGAAATATTTGTAAATAGAACAGTAAATCATTAAGCAGTTTCAAATGCTAATATGTAGCACCATCATTCATCCAGCTTTATCATACCAAAGCAAGCAGATACAGCTTGAGAAACGAAGCAAGGGTTACAATCCTTGTGGTGGTTCAGAAGAGGTGAAAAACAAGTTGGCACAGATAATAATAGTTGCTAAAGCCTTTACCCAGTAATTGGGTTGGCTACATAGATAAAATTACATCACTACATTATGTCACAAACCAATTTTTCGGAGAAGTTATTCCGATTTATATCATTTTTACTGTTTTTACTCACTTTTTTATGTCTTTCCTCAAACTCCAATTATTGGAGTCATTGGACTATCCTCCAACTAAGAAAAATTAAGAGTTACTATCCAGAAGATCACTCTACAAAAGATCATTTATATTTGACTAAAAAAAGATAGAATTTAGAGTTCACTGTCAACTGCTCCCATCCACTTAGACAGACCCATCAACTATACAAACAATTTCCGAGAGTACACAAGCTGATTCCAAAACCATAACTTATTTTAGCAAAAACTTGCATGATGTCCGTTACCCCATTCCGGTCAAGATCAATTATTGATGTATAGGAGATTCAGAGAAAAGAAACTGATTGGCTAACTCACGAGAATACATGATGATATCCATATCAAGTACACAAAAATTAGATATGATGACAAATTGACAAGCATACTGGAAAATAAAATGACCTCTTTTCATTTGTGAATAAAATTAATTAAACTTCAATGCAAGCCTTTATTAGAATTCTTACAGCAACATTCTCCACTTCTGGAGTCTGACAGAGAATTTCTATATCCCGTAGTTTTGCAAAGTAAAAGTCTCTTTCTTTTTCCAGGAGATCCACTGCAGATTTTAGATCAGTTATCTACAGGAAACAGAAGATAAAAGGTGAACGACAAAAAATGATTCGATAAATAATTTTTTCATTAAAACAACCAAGTAACAAACTTCCAATGATAATACCCATATAAGAACAAATAAATTGTCAATTTGTCAGCAGACTGACAATGAGAAAGAACAGATGTAATAAACACCAGCAGAGGAGCATCAGAAGAATCAATAATGTTTACATACATGAAGCAAAAGCATTGGTTTAGAATTCTATATAAATAAAAGGAAACAGAATTTGCATCATACAGTAAGTTCAGGGACTTCTTTGGTTATGTATTCAGCTCCAAATGCTCACAGAAGGATAGTTTTTCATCCCAATGTCATTGTTATAGATACACTGTTGGGATTCATCCCAAGTCCCACATCGGTAAAATGCCTTTCTTATACTTTAAGGCTTTGATTGGATTTGAGGATGGAAAAGGGAGAGTAGAAAAGGAGGGATTTGAAGAGAAAGTGAGTGGAAAGTGAGGTTGATTGGATTAAGGGAAAGTGAGTGGAAAGTGTAGAGAAAGTTTGTGAATGAATTGATTGATGTGATAGATAAAAATAGATTTTTTAATTAATAGT